GCGGGCGCAGGGGGGAAGTTGCCTCTACTGGCTGTGCAGTCCCCATCCGAGTCTGGCAGGTGCACAGCAGGTCACAGCCAGGCAGCAGCCCTCACTTCTGAACTGCTGCAGTGGGTAGAGGGTGCAGGGAAATCTCAGGGCTGCTTCAGCAGTCCAGCTGGCACAAGGGGTAGTGTCCCCAGGTACCAGTTGGCTGGGACCCAGAAGCTCCTGAGAGCTAGTAGCCCTGAGCTAGTTGCCAGGGTGGCTTTTTATACTGCTGGGGCCAGGACGGGCAGCTTTTTATACTGCTGGGGACAGCACAGTTGCTGGCTCCAGGCTCTAGCTCCCCCTGGCTGAAGATCCAGGAGGAGCCAGGCAGGGTTATTTTGCCCCAAGTGGCACAATTTGCTCTACAGCAAAGTGTATGTCTGACCACGTGCACTGAGGCAAAAAGCCCCGGTTCAAATTTGCACCGCTTCTATTTAAGCTGCTGCAAGCGCACATGCTTGCATGTGTGGACGTGCTCAATGTGGCTTCTGGTAACAATGTGGACCCTGTCAGCAGTGGGTCTGACCCTAATCCAATAATGATTTCCAATCCTTCCTTCCCCACATATGCTGCTTCCTTCTCTATCCCTCTGCTGCTTCCCACCGCTCTATCCAACACCAACTCACTTTGTCTTCTTTTTCCCTATCTTTCTCTTATCCCTACCATCAGTGCATCATAGCCAGGTCTCATGATTCATCCATCATTTGCAGCATTACAGTCAGGGATGGAGTTTGTTATAGACAACAGGTGCTCCACACCTCGGCAAACTGTACCAGGAGGATGGAGCTATAGCTGATTGGCTGTTAAACCACTTACCCACCTCCTGATCTAAAGCAGCCAATAGAGCTCTTCCCCTCCTCCTCAAGGATCTGGCTTGTCTCTCACTGGCCAGAAGGAAAGATTAAACACAGTCCAGTAGCTTGGAGTGCATTTGTTCCCCCCTACCCGTGCCTTTAATGGTTCCTCTATGTCTCCCATCTCTCTACCCAGAAAAAGAAAAGGGGGGTAAGGATCTATAGGACTTGCCCTCCTAAGGGCATGGCAGGGATGTGGGGAGAGGGAAGATAATAGAACCTCAGGCCTGAGAATGTGTTTAGAGTAGCCCTGGAGATGCAAGAGGAGCAGGGCTGGGGTGGCAAGTGAGAACTGGTTTGGAGGGAGGGAATCATAAAATGCCAGGGTAAGAGTTCCTGTAGCAAGGGAAAAATTGCCTCTCTTATATATATGTTTGGGAGAGTTGGCAGCCTCCAGGGCATGGAGGTGGAATGTAGGCCATTAGAAATGAGTTGTCTCGCCAAATGGAGGAAGCCTAGCTGGACAGCATGGAGTTCACTGCAGGAGTTAACATCCTGTCAAGAAGTAGCATAAATTGGTTCACATAGTACTTTGTGCCGCTGTGGCTAGTTTGCTTTCAGTACCTGTGCTAATGTGCCTATCTTTACACTTCACATACACAAGCATGATTTGGAAAAGTCAGTCAGAGCCTGTCAATCCACATCCTACAAAAAATCTGTGATATTTAGACCCTTAGAAAATTGAGAATAGTAAGAATAAAATATTCTTAATTTTCCAGAGGATAGTGCTTCTTCCCATTTGTTAAGCTGGCTCAAAACATTCTAATCCAAAGAGGAAGCTGGAAAATATATAGCAAACCCAGATTGCTTTTTTGGTCCTGTCTACACACTGGTTAAAGATGTGATTTTTTAACAGACATATCTAAAGTAGTGAAACCCCTTTGTGCTCATTCATTACCATCTCTTTAAATAAACTAGTGAAAATATTATATTGAAAGAAACACTGAAACTGCTGCACTTTTAAAGACTGGAAAACTGGAATCCAGATAAACATGAATAAAATGTGAAAGTTATGTAGGCCAGTGCTATAAATTATATACTGTTTCTTTTGGTACGTTATTGTCTTATGACCTTCCTGCATTGCTATCACTTTGACCCACATTCACAACCACAGCAGCCTCAGTTAATCTCTCTTACCACTTCAAAACAATCAACATCCCTGCCATTCCACAGAAAACAGACTTAAAATCCCAGCATAGGGCTATATGCAATGCAAACTTGCCATTCCATACAATAGCTCCCAGACTCTGGATTTTAACTCTGCTCTTTCATATATAAAAATACATTACAATATACACCGCTACATATATGAAATATTACTTTATTTTAGTCTTACTCTGTTGAAAGTCAGAGTACAGGTTGTGCCCAGGAGTATGACTGAGGAAAAAATGAATCAGTTGGACATAGTTTTGTGTTAGCCTGAAAGGCACACTATAGTGCAATGGTGGGGCATACAAAGTGACTGAGCATCATGTTTTCTGGGTTCTGAAAGCTCACTCTTGCCTCTGCCCTATAGTGCCACCCATTAATCATCAGATTACAACTGAGGCATTAGAATCTATGTGGTCCCCAATAAATTAAATGGATTTTTAACCACATTAGATTTAAGTTTTAAAGTTGTTTAGGGTGCCTACTTTCTATTCCTATTTCAAAATTCTATATTTATTTTAAGGCAGGATTCTGAGGTTGCTGAGAAGCCAGGCAGGTGAACTGGCAGGAAATAAAGCAGATTTCCATGGGAAACCTGTGTTCCTGCTTACATTCTATTGGAACTTTGACAAAATCAAACTGAGTGCATCAACACAAGATGCTTACTGAAGTTGCCTAATTAGCTTCACAGTAAAGCATCACTGTCTATATGAGCAGTGCTATTAGACAAACGGTAATATGGTGGCCACGCCAGACAAGAAAGCTGATATTTTTAACAGTTTCTTTGCCTCTGTTTTCCTGAACAGGGACCGGGATATCCCACCTACCAGAGGTAGGGACAATCTTGGGGATAGCTCTATCAAGCCTTCAGTCAGTGCAGATGTAGTTAGGGATCTTCTGGAAGAGCTAGACATTTTTAAATCTGCAGGTCCAGATGCCTTCCACCCAAGGGCATTGAGGGAGCTGGCAGGGGTCATCGTGGAGCCTTTGGCCCAGCTGTATGAGCATTCGTGGTCATCCGGCCACGTGGTGGGGGATTGGAAACTGGCTAATGTGGTCCCTATTTTTAAGAAGGGGAGAAAGGAGGACCCAAGTAATTATAGACCTGTAAGCCTCACCTCGGTACTTGGGAAGCTCTTGGAGAGAATCATCAAGGAGCATATCTGTGGGGGGTCCTGTAGGGGAGATCATGCTCAGGGGCAATCAGCATGGCTTCACCAAAGGCAGGTCATGCCAGACCAACCTGATTGCCTTTTACGACCAGGTAACTAAATCCTTGGATGATGGTGTCACTGTGGACATAGTCTTTCTAGACTTTAAGAAGGCCTTTGACACTGTCTCTCACCCCATCCTCATCAATAAATTAAG